TTCCTTTCAGTCTTTGCCAAAGAAACAGAAAGGTAGCAGCAAATCAACACACCTGTTCACATTTCACTAATAGCACTTACAGATCAACTGTTCATGAAGAATTATCTAAGATTTAAAAATTTCTTAGACCAATAAATTAACAAAAAAGCAGGTGACATAAAATTGCCAACTGTTTTTGTCAGACAAAAGCACTAAAGACTCATTCACCATAGTTTTGTTACAGTAGTCATAGAAGTATTTTAATGCCAAAAAGGCATAGAGAAATCTCTCAGAATAAGGCTATTCAAAGAACTTTCTCAAGGTCATCTAGCTCCCTCAATGTTTATATTAACATCTGTTAGATATTTCATACTTGTTTATGTTTTAAAAACAGGCATTTATGTTCACATCACTACTGATCACTTTTCAGACTCTGGGTTGGGAGAAGGAAAGTTCTAAGACTAACATCCATTATCATTATCCCATAAACATTTGTTTCAAACTACCTAGATCTTGCCAGGTACCTTTCTTCTCTCTGCTTATAAATTACTTTGTGATTTATTTTACAAAGTACCACGTTTAGAGGGAAATAAAAATTTAAGAAGAGACCAATAAAAAGACCAAACCTTTACAACTAAATTTTTGTCATTCTTTTCAAGTATTCAGATGATGGAAAGCCAATATTAAAAGGAACAATAAAAATGGTTCTGCTTCCAATACCAGATAAATTTACTAAAATTAAGGTAACATTTTTTCTCATTACAAAGTAACACACATTCATGGTAGAAACTTAGTCACTCTTAATTTCCTCACTCAGAAATTACCATCAACACTTCATGACGCTGGGCTTTTTTCTAAAACTGAATTATGTATGGTTGCATATGCTATTTTTTCACTTATATATAATTAGGATGATCATATGTCCTAGTTTGCCTAGGGAAGTCTCTGTGCATGCCGATTGTCTGGTGGAATAATAGTGACTTTTGAAATGATCCAGTTTAGACAAAGTATATGAAGATACTTTATTTAATTTTTAAATTATTTTATTATTAGAATTGTAAAGAAATAATATTCTTAGATCATAAATATAGTTCACAAGAGAGAAATTCTGTAATAACTCCTAGGAATAAGAAACTACAAATTACAACAGTATCACAGTACTTCTCTTTTCAGATTGATGAAGATTAAAAAGACAATTTCTCTTTTGGTGCAAATATGAAGAAGTAGGTTACTCATATATTATTGGTGGGCAGATTTATTTAATTTTTAAATGGTAACAAAGTATTGAGTTACAATTTAATCCCCCTTTGTATTTTCAATGTTTTTATAGTATAATATAAAAACATTTTTGTGTATTTGTTGCTCTATTATTTTAATATAAACTAGTGTTTTTTTCCAAACTGTGCACCATGACTCTTTAAGTGAAATACAACCGGCTTTAAAAAATTTTGAAATAAAATAAACTGGAACATATTATATATAATAAAGATGAGCACTGTTTTGTGAAATTTTAATTTTTAAAAATTTTATTTATACAGAGTATGGGACTTGGTCAAAAATGTTTGAGAAACATTGGAATAAACCCTGGGAAACTGAATTGCCAGATCAAAGGGTGTCATTTTCATTTAAAGCTTTTGGCTCATATATTGCCCTCCAGAAATGACAAACCATTTTTCATGCCCACCAATAATATATGAGTAACCTACTTCTTCACATTCGCACCAAAAGAGAAATTGTCTTTTTAATCTTCATCAATCTGAAAAGAGAAGTACTGTGATACTGTTGTAATTTGTAGTTTCTTATTCCTAAGAGTTATTACAGAATTTCTCTCTTGTGAACTATATTTATGATCTAAGAATATTAGTTCTTTATAATTCTAAGAGATGCTGAACTTGTTTTTGCTTATTATGGATATATTCATACTAAAAAATTTTTAACAAAATTAAAAAACATGCAATGTATTCATTTCACAGAAAGTTGCTAATACAAGTTGCAATGATGTGCTTAACTCCTTTCAGGTTCCTAGGCCCAATTCCAATGTGTGTGTGGGGAGGACTCAGGGGGTCTTTCCACACACACACACACACCCCACCAAGCAATTCTCAAACACCAGGAGGATGTCAGACAACTCAATTCTGATGCTATCTGCCCAGAGACAGCATCATATTTCCCAGGTTTCAGGGCTCCATCCTACAAGACTTCTCTCCACCCCTCAGTCCAGATGCTGGTCGCAATCCCCAGGCAGTTTTACCTGTGCTTCTGACCTACTGACTACAGACTGGAGGTTCCCACGACCTCCCCCTTAGGTTCGATTAACCTGATAGAGCAGCTTACAGAACTCAGGACACTTGGTTTACCTGTTTAATAAAAGGTACCATAAAGGATACAAGTTAACAGCCGAACAGAGGCAGGTCCCAAATAAAGGAGCTTCTATCCTCCTGGAGCTTGAGGCCTGGCACAGTGGCATGTGGAGGCGTTCTGGTTCCCCAAGCATGCAAGGAAGCTCTCTCCAATAGAGCAGACAATCGCAGAGAGGAGAGAACAATAAACTCTTCTTAGGGGTTTTTGTGAGGGCTTTCGGCTTAGTCATGATTGACTAAATTACTGGCCATTGACTGATTCAAGGGCCAGGTCTCATTAACATGACAAAACACCCAACACCCATTTCACCTTTCAGACTGCAGTGGTACCTTTTATTAAACAGGTAAACCAAGTGTCCTGAGTTCTGTAAGCTGCTCTAGCAGGTTAATCGAACCTAAGGGGGAGGTCGTGGGAACCTCCAGTCTGTAGTCAGTAGGTCAGAAGCACAGGTAAAACTGCCTGGGGATTGCGACCAGCATCTGGACTGAGGGGTGGAGAGCAGTCTTGTAGGATGGAGCCCTTAAACCTGGGGAATATGGTGCTGTCTCTGGGCAGATAGCATCAGAATTGAGTTGTCTGACATATGAATGACCAAATATGTATTTCTTATGGTTTATTATGTTGCAAAAGTGGTCTCATTCTTCTTTGAATATTTATATTCATTTTACTTAAAACCTTTGGTGGCAAAGCAACATGCAAATACAAGGACATTCAGATTTTAGGCCCAACTGTAATAAAAAATCAACTATCCACGTGAACTTGACAAATGAATTACCCTTTTTACATACTTTTACTATTTTACAAAATAATAATGGAGAATATACTGTGGGTAAAATTGCAGTACTTCCATAATCTCTAGGCTGGCCTTAGTACATCTCCATATAAATAGGTGATTACAAGGTGTGTGTGTGGAGAGCAAGTGGGTACCTGGACCGGAGAGGTATTTTTGTTTCTTCCCAGCCAGGATGAGGAGAGACATAAGCGAATGAGAGTAGACGATTTCTTCTAAGCAATAATAATACATTTTCCCTCCGGAGTTACTTAGATCAATTATTTTAAGTTATAAAAAGTCAATATTTATTGAGTACTTAAAATATGCCAGAATCAGTGCTAAGTGTCTTAAATTTTTTATCTTATTTAATACTCACCAATGACTAAATATTTTTAAACCTCCTGATTTAGAAATGAAGAAACTGAGATTAAGAGAAATTAATAAATTAGACAAGTTGGCTAACTGGAGTACAAACTTAGATCTAACTCTATAGTTAATATCTTAATTGTTATTCTTTTTCTAAGTTTTTTGTCAATAAACAAGGATTTTCGGATATGTAATTTGTTTAGAAGCAATAAACACCTGAGTCAGTGACTAATGGAAATGAGCTTTTGAAATTCTAACTAGTCAGATGGTTCCCCCTGCTGGCTAATTTGTGGAATTACAGTTTAAGGGAAAATTGTATGAAGACAGGCAATGTAAGTAAGTTAATAAATTCCTTGTTCTCAATAGTTCATGTTTTTTGAGAATAATGAGGAAAACAAGCCCTATAAGCAGCTTCTATTTGAAACCCTTTTCAAGAGCCTTTTGGGGTATATTTTTAGAAAATAAGTCAGGAAGTTACTGAGAGTAGAAGAGACAGAATCTAGTTTGAGATTATGCTATATGTAAAATCCCTTTTTTGTGAAACTATTTAGGCTCAGACCATCATAGTTTTGTTCAATAAGCTATATCCTGAAGATGACAGGAAGGAAAAGCAAACTGTACCTCAGCAGCTATGCATGACAAAGATCCTGATGGTTAACTAGCAAATATTCAGAATCTTAGTTTTAAAGTTTCTGACGTTCTTTACAGCAGATTATGCAATCCCCACATTTCAAGGCTTCAAGTACATGACTCTAATCTTTATTTTTTTGTGGGTGTTTGTGTGTGTACTTCTTGCATCTTTTTTCCTATATACAGGCTTGACTTTTCTTTTTAGAAATAGTTGAAAACACACGATATAAACAACTTTTAATTCTTGAGTTTACACATTCACATAGTTCAAAAATAAAAAGCAATACAAGTATCTTCCTTCCCTACTTACCTACATAAATGAGTCTTACTTGTAAAAACAGAAGCCACAAGCAAGTAGCAATGCCTTAACTGCATGTGCTGTATGGGTTACAAGAAGAGCCTCTTCCTTCCCTGCTGAGAGGGCTATCCTTGTCTTCTTGCCTATGACACTACTGTTCTTTTTGTTCAGTGGTACCTAATAAAGACCTTCACTCTACCTATGACCACCTTGGTTCATTTGTTAAGTTTCACCACTGTTTTAAGACAGAAATAGTACAACTACTTTAAAATCATCCAAACACTCAATGATTCTGAAAGCATTAGTAAATACTTACTGAGCATCTACTATATACCAGGCACTTTCTAAAAAAGTATGGAAAGAGACACAATTGCTTTAAGCATGGTAATATTTTCCCAAATTCTTGAAATCAAGGGGGAAAAGCTGTTATACAATAAACCCATATAAGTTAGAAACTGAATTATAAAAAATGTTCCTCCCTAATCATCCACCATTGCTTCCCAAAAAGGACAACTATTTGATTATCTTCTCAATAATGGATTTATTTTAGCAAAAATTATTGGCATACTGCTGAAAACAGTAAAGAAAATAAACTACCTTTTTCTTCAGGTGAGAGGTCACTATCCTCATCTCCACTGCTTTCTTGTTCATGGACACGATACTTTGGCTCCAAGCCTTCTGCAGCAGCTAATCTATACAACAATCATTTACAAAGAAATCAACACTGATATTCTTTTGTTATCTTCATTTGTTTTTATAATAATGTTTATAACAAATAATATTATTATATTTCTTTTCAAAGACAAGTTCAGTGTCTTATTCAACTCTCGAGTCTCATAAAAACATCTAAAAATCATTAAATTGCTAGCTATAATCTGATGAGGAAAATAAAATGCAAGAGTGGGAATAGATGTAGAAACCAATAAGCAACAAGAAGAGTGTAGAATGACAGAAAAATAAATGAATAGCAAAGGAGAAGAATTTTTATGAATCCACTGTTTTTTGCCTTTCACACTTCTACCTTTAAAACCCACCTTCAAAATGTGGCAGGAGTAAACATAATGTTCCCTCATGTAATTGTAGATTAATGATACCAAAAAAAAAAAACGTGGCAGGAAATTTTTTTAAAAAAAACCCACAGGGAACCTGTGTACCACGCTCATACTCCAATCTTTCTGCTACTTGCATATCTTGATTTTATTAATCTAGAAACAAGACTATAAAGTATGCTATGAAAAATCCAGATAAACTTAGCATACGCTTTTTATTTACACTTGAACAAGTAAAGTAAAATGTCTTTAAGTCTGCACAATTAAAAACAGCATAAGTGAAAATGCTTTATATAGTCACCAATACTTACTTCTTGGCTAAGATATCTGGGGCCAGGGCTTCAGTGGTTTCTGAATCACTTAATGCATCATCATCATCATCACCTAACATACTACGACAACAAACACATTATAATTAATACCTGAACTATACTTTTTCAAACAGAAAAACAAAGTAGAAAAACATAATTCTATCAACTTAGTTAAAACAGATCAATGTAGTTATAGTTCTGTTGTCATTCTTGAAATTTAATCATTTTAAATAGTTTCTGATGCAAATGTTTAAAAGTATAGCACCAGTCAAGAAAAGGCTCCAAATCATAAAAAATAAAATAAAAACCACTACTGTAGCCATTAAAATAAATTTTGAACACCCGAATTACCTGAAAATAATAAAAATACTTCAATTATTCCATCCAGTGGGAGGGAACAAGTAATGTAAAAAAATCCAGTCTGTTTTTAGAATACATATTTGTACATTAACCTGAAGAGACACATGATCTGTGTAGACACAAAGTTAGGTGAAACCACAAAATTAGACCCTAAAGAGCTAATTCAGAGTATTTAAAAGCTATTTAGCTTTCAGTTCATCTTCTAATGAAAAATTTTCTCCTGGATTAAATGCTAAAATGGGTATCTTTAACTCCCAAGCCACTAAAAGGCGTATAAAACAGAACTGAGCCATATAAAAAACATGGTTGGTTTTTACCTTTCCTGGTTAGTTAAGGAGTCGAATTAAGTGCTATAACTTAGATGATGTTCTTTTTTCCAAGTAAGTTGAAATAAACTCACTTATATTACTGGATATAAATAAGCAGAGATGGGTAAAATAAACTTAATTTGAATTTAGAACTGTTCTATAAAAATTATGTTATAATATTTACAGATGAATTATACTGTTTGTATATGTGTATATAAATACATGCACACACACATAAATATAAAAGATATATATAAAAGCAGTAATTTTTTGTATGCTAACTGAGATTCTTGGGTAGTCTAACATGATCTTTCTATAAGAAACATCCTCTGTTAAATATAACCTTTTTAAATTGAAGTATATAGTTGATAAATGTAACTTTAAAAAAAGGCACAAGAAAGGAACTGGTAAAACTAAGCACTAAATTGATTAAAGCTCAGCACATCTATCAGTACATACATGGAGCCTCAATTACTTAGATACTAAATAACTGGCAAATCTCACAGGAAGGATATGGGTAAGGTAAAGAGGGAAAAAATGCAGTATCAAATATATACCATTCAGATTTATTATATTTTAAATATAAACAATCTAAGAACAATGACTACAGTTGTTCTTTGAATCGTTTGATTTTAATTCTTTGAGGGTAGCTGCCTCCAACCAACAAAGGTAAATAAAGAATGTCTACTACCTTTACTGAAATGGAAGAAAGCCCTGACTTTGGCTTCTGGTTATCTCAACTTACTTTCCAAAGTTTTCATCCACTGATTTAAAATATGGAATTTCTTAATACTATATTTTAACAATATATGGATTTATGTTGTCTCACTTCAAAGACAGTATTTCAGTCCTCAAAGTCTTTCCTCTTCAAGTTAAGGCATGATCTGATGTAGGTATTTCTACTTATTTAGAATCTTAATTTTCTGATAATGCTTACTTTTGTCTTCATGCTAACTACTGCCACACACTATCATTTTATAATTAATTTAAAAAAACTCCAGAAGACTCAAACTATCAACAATCACAATGCAATTATCTGAACTATAATAATGTAAGTTCAAAAATAAGGACATGGAATATAGTAAAAAATATTGTAATAACTTTGTATGGTAACAGATAGTAACTACACTTAGCTTGAGCATTTCATAATGTATGTAACTGTCAAATCACTGTTGTATACATGAAACCAATATAATATTGTGTATAAACTATACTTTAATAAAAAAAAGACATGAAACAGTGGTAATGACCACTTGTCTTTGAATGGGTTAAAAAAGTGTCAAAAGAGTATCACGATCTGTGAAGTTATCTTTTTCTGCAAAGAGACTGAGGAAGTCTCTGACTTCTACTTTGGAAGCAAACATGCCCAACTGTCATCTTTCCTTTTATAAATTAATTTAAGGAAGAGAGATGTCACTAATCTGTGTGCCTCATTAGCAGCTAAGGACCAATGAGGTGCAACAAATAAACATGTTACTACTACAATTATAATGTACAAATGGATTCCATAAAGTTATATATTCCTTATACTATTACACGAAAATATGCAGTTGGGTTAATTAGTGTTCCAGTAATGAATATAAAATCAAAACATAAATTCAAGTTGGTTGTTATCCAGAAGCTCATGTCAAATACAAAACAGAAACAAGTAAAAAATGGAATGATGTCTATAAAACATTACCTATGGTAAGGAGTACTAGGTTCATCTATTTTCATTAAACCATAGTCTTTGTCTGCTGGATGATATGTTGCCAGGATGTTCATTTCATCCCACTTCTGGGATTTTTTACTAAAATTGAAAAGAAAAAAAAATTTCCTCAGTGAAAAGCGTAGACATCTAAAATTCACAATCACCCAAATCCCACATTTCACATTCTATTTGACTATTGAATCCCATTTTTACATATACTTTCTTGCAACAGAAACTGATAGTATAATACAAGTAATTACAATAAAATGTCAGTAAATATTCTATAGAATACTTAAGTGTTCACATACTGAAAACACATTATTCAGAATCTTCACCAGGCATTCAAAACACTATTACATTACACTTCATCTGGCCTATAAAGTAACAGCAAAAATTGACATTTCTACATTGCCCGATCTCAATAGTTGAGGATTTTTTATCTAATCTGTGTTAGTAAAAGTTTGATTAAAAAAAAGTAGCAGGAATATTTCCTTAGCCTAATTTTTTCAGAGATATCCAAAACAATCAAAAGAATCAGACCATAACAACCACAGGGAAAACCTCATTAAATTCAGACACCACTTAATAAAGATTTAGGTTCCAAATAAAATTAGAAAAGGGTTTGCTAAGAAATGGTGTATTCAGGAGCACCTGGATAAATCTATTTAAGAGAAATAGAAATGTTTTATAAGTGTGTTATGAACATCCATTAATATCCACTTAAAATATTTGCACAACTGCTAAGGTGCCCAATAATTAAATGTCTTAATTACAAATTCTTCTTACCTACTCTAATGAGTTACAAAAGACATCAATGACTTGTTTGCTAGTCAACTATATTTTGTTACACATATAATTTGAGACGTGGTTATAGACTTGAAAATAAAACTACTTTAAAAACAAATCAATGTGGATTTTACACAGATACAAATTATCCTTTCTGCATTTGGTCCACATCTGTGAGGTTTTATTTTCAATTCATTGGCCTATTTTCAAATTTTCTAAATCTTCCAATACACATGTGGAAATACTCTTGAAGAAGGATGTAACTAAATTTTGTCATCATCTTCCCTTCTTCATGCTGAGTCACCTTAAAATTTACATGTGCCCACTTATGGCAGGTGAGCCTGAATTTCTGTTTTCTTGCTTTTTACCCTAAAGGAAAACCAGTGTCTCTATTTCAGACTAAACATTTTCTTCTTCTTCATATTTTACTGTCTCAAAATATACATAAAATTTGCCATTTTAACCTTCTTTAAGTATATAAATAGTTCCTCCTTTTCCATGGGGGATATACTCCAAGACCTGTAGTAGATGCCTAAAACCATGGCTAGTACCAAACCCTATATATATTATGTTTCTTCCTATGTATACATACCTATGATAAAGTTTAATTTATAAATAAGGCATAAGAGACTAACAAAATAATTCTAATATACTGTAATAAAAGTGATGTGAATATGGTTTCTCAAAATATTTTACTGTACTCACCATTCTTGTGATGTGAATGGTAAAATGCCTACATGAGATGAAGTGAGGTAAATGACACAGGCACTGTGATGTAGCATTACGCTACTACTGACTTCCTGACACCAGGAGGAAGATCACTTGCTTCCAGACTGAGGTTGACCATGGGCAACTGAAGCCACAGAAAGCAAAACCAAGGGTAAGGAGGGACTACTGTAGTTCTGTGGCATTAAGTACATTCACACTGTTGTGCAGTCATTACTTCCAACCATCTCCAGAACATTTTCATTGTCCTCAAGTGAAATTCTATACCCACTGAACACTAATTCCCCATTCTCCCCTCCCCTGGCTATCACCATTCCATTTCTCTATGAACTTGACTACTACTCTAGGTATCTCATATAAATGGACTGATACAGTATTTGTTCTTCCCTGACTGGCTTATTTCCCTTCATGTCTTCAAGGTTCAAAATAGCAAATTTTAGGTATATTTTACCACAATAAAGTATGAAAAATAAAGAAGTGCTTAGTGCTTATTTAGTGAACCTTGAAGGTTAGTGCCTATTTTACTTCATGTCTTCAAGGCATGTGTCAAAATTTCCTTTTTAAGTACTTTTTCACTGCAGACTAAGTACTTTTGACTACAACTTCAAACCTACTTGAAGTTTTATCAAGAGGTGAAGGTTGGCCCAGACATAGTCGAAAGGTGACTGAGACTACAAATCCCACTTCCCCCCACCAAACAATTAGAAGTTGCCTAATGTCTCTTCAGCATGAAACAATCAAAAGCTTACATAAGAAGCTAAAAATTAAGACAATACTGATTTCTTTAGGTGCCCAGTTTTTGGCTGTGTACCATAGTAACACTTGACTTACATAAGAAGCTAAAAATTAAGACAATACTGATTTCTTTAGGTGCCCAGTTTTTGGCTGTGTACCATAGTAACACTTGGGTCTTGTGGCAGAAAAAAACCTTAACATTGTTAAGGTTAAAGTTCTAGTTACCCCTCACTAGTCCTGTGGCTCCAGACAAGTCCAACAAACATTTGCTCTATTCACTCTGCATGGAAAGCACAATTATGAGTTATCATGCAGGGTTGAGAGAATCAACTGAAATAATGTCTGTGAAACCAAATTTTAAAAGCACCATACAAATATTAAGGACTTTTTATGATTTTAGTATTTAAAGTTTGGCTTAAAAATCTTGAAATCAGAGCTCGTTTAACACTGTAGAGAAAGGACTGAGAAAAGGAATTCTAAGAGAAAGTTGAAATGCTTTTGTACTAAATGCCTTCTACCTTTCCTCTGTAAGACTCAACATTTTAATTTTGAAATATTTAAGATCTGCCACAGAATGAGTTTTGTAAAAAGTAATCAGTTTTCTGTTGGACTATATCTAGTTTCAGATATTTTGCTAAATAGTTCTATTATCTATAAATGTACAAAAGTACATTTAGAAAGCTTAGGTTTGCTCATGGTCGTATTCTACATAAGGAAACTCATGGTGAAAAGAGATAAACTGAAGATTTTAGATAGCAGAAATGATCAAGATGCCTCTCATTAGGATAATGGAAGAAATGTATATAAGCTTTAAGTAGATTAATTTTGTGGAAAACGTAATTAAATTCATAAACAAAGGGAGACCCGTGATACCATAAAAAAATGTTCCCTCCTGAGAGATGATGCCTCTGAAATTACAGCCAGAGTTAAGTCCAAGTCAGAAATAGGAAAGCACAGGTATAAGTTTCATGAAACCTGGATTAATAGACAGTCCTATTCAGATTTCTTATTTAAAATACTGAAAGGAAACTCACACATGTGTATTTATATAAAGTTCAAAGCAGGCAAAACTAAAGGATGCAGGGATGTATACTTAAGTGACTACCATAAAATCAGGATAGTGGTTATGTTAGAGGGGAGGAAGAGACTGATTGGAAAGGGCAGCGGACATTTTGAGGTGATGAAAATATTCTTTTTTTTTTAATTAAATATCATTGATATACGATTTTATGTTGGTTTCAAATGTACAACACAGTGGTTCAACAGTTACTCGTATTATTAAATCCTCATCTCTTCTAGTGTGGTTATTACTATCAATGCAGTAAGATGTTACAGAATCATGACTATATTCTCCATGATGTACTACCATCCCCGTGACCAACTTATATTGTGATCACAAATTATTGTGCCCCTTTATCCCCTTCACCCTCCCGCAAGTGCCCCAACCCCTTCCCCTTGGTAACCACTAGTCCCTTCTCAGTGTCTATGAATCTACTGCTATTTTGTTCCTTCTCTTTTGCTTTGGAAAACATTCTTTTTCTTGACCAGGATGATGGTTACAGGGGTGTCTGCTTTATAACAATTTATTTATTTTTTGAATAGCCAAGATCTGTTCTTTATAATTTTTAAATTAATTTAACTTATTTTTTATTTTTAATTAAAGTATTGTTAATATACAATCTTACATTGGTTTCAAATGTACATCACAGTGGTTCAACAGTCCCCGTGATCAACTTACATTGTGATTGTGAATTATTGTGCCCTTTTATCCCCCCTTTCCCCCAACCCACTCCCCTCCCCCTTGGTAACCATTAGTCACTTCTCAGTGTCTATGAGTCTAATGCTGTTTTGTTCCTTCCATTTTGCCTTGCTTTTATATTCCACAAATAAGTGAATTCATATGATATTTGTCCTTGTCCACCTGGCTTATTTCACAGAGCATAAGACCCTCTAGATCCATCCATGTTATTGCAAATGGCAGGATTTCTTTTTATGACTACATAATATTCCATTCCATTCATCTACTGATGGACACTCAGGCTGCTTCCATTTCTTGGCTATTGCAAACAGTGCAGTGATAAACATAGCGGGGTACACATATCTTTTCAAATCAGGGACTTTGTTTTCTTTGGGTAAATTCCTAGGAGTGGAATAATTGGGTCAAATGGTATTTCTATTTTTAGTTTTTTGAGGAACCTCCATACTGCTTTCCACGGCAGTTGTACCTATAATAATTTATTAAAGCTTTACAATTACATGTAATATATTTTTCTGTATGTGTATTATAATATTTAAAAATAGGCACATACTAATTGCTTTGTTGGGTGCTTCCTAATTTTGAAGTATTTTCTAAATAATGATAACAATATTGAATTAAAAATGACAATTTATCATCATCATTGCCTAGGATAGAAGAATGTAGATAGACTTCTGGAGTTTAAAAGATTTCTAATGGTGAGGAACCAGAACACCACATATATCTGTTTTGTGAGATAATGACAACATAGGACACAAGCAAAAATTATGCTTTAATAATCACAATCCCAGCACCCTAACATATTAATAATTTTGATTTCTGCATATTCTTTCTACTCTGTATAATATATATGAAAAATATATAAGCTATCAGTATTATAAAAATACATGTTGTATATACACATATATATAACAGTATATATAGTATGTATAAAAATACATACTGATATGAAAGCTATCATAATAAGCCACTTGTATTTTCTAGTCTTTACCTTTTTAATTGCATAATTATTAAATTATAATAACTGCATAATTCAACAATAAATCATTCACCCATTAAGTATTTAGATTGAACTCACAATGTTCATATTTAAAAT